TCTCTCTCTCTCTCTCTCTCTCTCTCTCTCTCTCTCTCTCTCCCTCTCGCGCTGCAAACACTATTTCCTGCGTGTTGTTACGCTTCGGTCCGCACGTGCGGCACAGCCAGGCACAGGCACAACAAGTGCGACACGTGCGCACACCACCTTCCTCCTTCAGCAAATTGACTCGTGCAGTTTTTTTTTTCTTTTTTTCTAATCGCCTCCCCCAACCTCAGAGGGTTGAGAACAGGCGCTCGCGCATGCGCAGAGGACAGCAAGCGAAAGAAGCGCATCTGGAGGTATTCCCCAGCTCTTTCACTTTACACAGCCTGTGCCTCTGCGTCAGGGCTCTGCTCTGTCTGTTTATTCACACTCAGAGGTGTGAGGTTCACACATATGAAGTGTTAAAATATGAAAACTTTTYTCTTTTTCATCCGCGTTTGATTGCACTTTTACGCGCGTAATGATCAAACCTCACAGTTTTATTTGAAATAATTACAGGCGGTAGGCTATTTATTGTGCATGTTCAGACGCGCCTCTGCTGTCACCCACCAAGTGAATCAATGCGCCCACCCCTCCTCTGCCCCCTCCCTCATCCCTCCCTCAGTCTCAGCGAGGTTCGCGGTGACCCATCAGTCGCTCCACTCCGCTGCGCCTTTGTTGCTTTTATTACAGTCGAGCAACGCGCTTTTTTTTTTGTTTTTGTTTGGTTTTCTTTTTTGTTTGTTTGTAGAGAACTATTCTATAAGTATTTCCGAGGAAAGCCGTCCTGCTGGTGAACGACAGCGGATTTTATTTTCAGTCTCGCGATGAGCGGCTGGCAGCCGGCTGGGAGCGCGTGCCACGCCGCGCTCTGGTGAGTGCATTTCCAAGCCTGCTGTTCTGCAACAACCATGAAGTCCAGACGAGACAAACTGAAGATCCCCTCCCTGACTTTAGAGTAAGTTTTGCCTCTTTGTTTTGATCTTGAACCCGAGGAACTGATTTATTTTGAAGCTGCAACATGTTGTTCCCTTTTCTTTTCTTTCTTTTTTTTTTGTTTGTTTTATTGTGACCAAAGTTCAAACTTTTGAAAGCTGTAACTCCAAAATAATAACCCTGGTTATTTAGTTTACTTTCTTATCTTTCTTGGTGCCTGTTTATACTCGTGCAAAGTCCATAAAGATGACATCATCGTGTTTTTTCTCATCAATAATGCCCAATATTTATTTAGTTTTAATGTTTGCATGCTGATCTTTTATCCTTCAGCTGAGGTTGTTTTTGCTCAACATTCCAAAGTTTTGGGTTGTCCAAGTTGTAGTGAAACCAAATAACATCCTTCAGCACCACAGATTATTATAAGCTGCACTGATGCAGCTCATGGATTACAATGTGAATTTTTCCTCGTGATTATTGTGGTTTTTCTTTCTCTCCCATGTGTCCTGGAACTATGACTCCTGCATGAATCACACACGCCCCTCCACAGCACCACCACCTTTTTGCAGACTTAAATAACGACAGATCTATTATTTCCCTATTATTGCTAACCTGTGATCATCGCTCCTTCACCCAGAGAGCAGTTTTTCTTTAAATTGTGTGTGTGTGAGGGGAAGCAGGTGAGAAGTGATGCAAAATGCTGATCCGTAAGGCGTAGGAGCTCCTCGCTCGCATCCTCATCCTCTGATCCATCCATCTGCCTCCCGCCTGTCTCAGCTGAGCATGCGCTGTTTTCATGTCATTTTCATTTTTAGGCACTAAGTAGCATCTGTTCCTGTGCAGAGCAGAGATCCGGAGGAGGCTTCGCTCTCAGCGAGTAGGGAGGGCTTGGTTTCACTGACAGCACGCCTATACAATAAATGAAAACATGGCAAGAAAGCCGTAAAACTAAAGTTTTACTACTAATAAAACACACTTTACAAGTATTTATAGGCATAGACTTAATCCTCGTTTTAGAAAGATGGATTATTTCAGAATCAAGACATCATTTTTACTCAGTTTGTAGCTTAAGGTGGGAACAAAAAGCAAATAATAATGAACACAAAGCAACTTTTGCAGCGAAAACAACCATCCTCAGTTAGTCTCTGCATCTCCATCAAGAAAAATCAGAAATTCAGTGTGAACACCGCCAGTGAGTCAGTCTAGTGTTTTCTACTCACTTCACACGTTGAACAGGAGAGTGCATCGAATGAGGAGGAAAAGAAAAGAAACTCATAAAACATCTTAAGACGTGTGAAGCTGACCAGAAACGCCTGGCGTTTTGTCGTACGACGGCGAGCCGCCGCCACAGACCGAAGAGTCTTTGCACAAGGAGTTGTTTTTTCCTGCCATCCCTCCTGCATTACTATGACAACACGTTCATTAGTGCTGTGGCAAGGCAACGCGTGTGTTCAGCACCGAGGAGCTCCTGCAGCACACAGACAGTAGCATCTTTGTGGAGCCCAGGGAGCGGAACTTAGATCCGAGCAGAGGAATCGATGAAACAGGAGCCTCTCTGCTGGGTCAGCAGCAGTGTAATTTAGGCCTCAGGGGCGTCTGAGCTCGCTGAGCCTGCAGGTTTTGATGCAAATGGGGTGTAAAGCAAAAACTGAGGTAAATTGGGTTCACAAAAGTGAACACAAACACAAACTTTATCACCTTTACTGGCGAGAGATCAAGCTTTTAAGATATGTTCCCAGGTGCTTTTGGTTACAAACCCAGCTAAAAGTTGCATTAGGTGCTCACTTATTGTGTATTTGGATGATGAAACTTCCTTCCACCTGTGTTGACATGACATTGCAGATGGTTTTGTTGAAATGTAAGCACCTTTGAGTCATTTAAATTTCCCGAAACAAACAGTACAAATACATGTGACCTGTGCTGTCAAAATGAGTGACCTCATGCGTGACAGGATATGTGAAAATATTGACTTTTGTTGTAATTGAGATTTGTTTCATCAGTCGCTAAGATAGAAGACAATCATGTTTGGCATCATAAATGAGGCTGGAATTCCAGGTAACATCACTCTAAACCAGAGCTCTGCAACCTTTACGATTCAAATGAGCCAATTGTGCTCCTTGTCTCACTAATAAAATGTGTCCAGAGCCACAAAATGAGCTACAACTGTGATTATCAACTGGTGGTCCGTGGGCCTTTTCAAGGCCTTTTGGGGAACCTTTACAGTCAGTGGAGGTGACGTTATATAACTAAAAATATATTGTTACTGTTATTATATTATTTATTATCATACACATCAGGACAAATAAACAGACCATATTTATGGAAACAAAAAAATACTGTATATAGTTTATGCCCAATTTCATAAAAACTAGTATTACTGAATTATTCAGGCATATTTTTTCTAAGTCTTCTTATTATAAAGCCTTCAACTTATTTAAAGGTAATTCTGATGGATTTGAGAGAAAAATCATTGAAAGAAATTGGAATATTTCGGTAAAAAAACAGGCTAGCATGAGCTAACATGTTTTACTTAGTATTGTTCTCATATTTGCAATTTATTTCTGTTGTGGGCATAACCCCCCCCCCCCAAAAAAAAATTTATTCTGTTATGTTTGATCATATTTTCATAGAGCCACTGCAGAGGGACCAAAGAGCCACATTTGGCCCCAGAACCGCAGATTGCAGACCCCTGTTCTAGACATACAGTTCAGTAACTTAAAATGATTCAGGCTCTTGTTTAATAAATATGAATACAAAACGTTTGAAGCAAACACAACTTAAACACTTCAGCTTGCTAGTGTTTAAGTTGTGTAGCAAGCTGAAGTGTGACGCGTACGATGGCTTGAGTCCAGACTCTGAGTGGTTGTGGTTCTGATAGAGTCACTGTTGTTTATGTTCTTGCTACTTCAGTAAACTTCTTATATTTAGCTTTGTGTAACTTATTGTAGTGGAGATGACAGACAGCTTCTCTAAGCAGACTAAATACATGGATTTGCCTTGAAATTCTGTGAACAGATAGTACTTCCAATATAGTGTATGTATATATATATATATATAT